ATTAATGAACTAGAACACATTTTAATATTGATACTAACTGGGTAGCCCTCTCATTCTCTACTCTGGATTAGTCACCTATGAGATTATTTACAAATTCCAGATAGTTACTTGCAAATGAGAAAATGGCATTCCCAACACTAGAGATGTTTAGAGTACCCTCCACTCTACGTTTTGATGACCATCTGCTTCATTTCTGAATGAGGCAGCAATTTAGTTTAATTTTGCTCACAGTGAACGATCATTTTTTTGTACCAGTTCCTCTGAGGCTTCTAAAATAGGAGTCCCACTCACACAGATACACACTTATAAACATGTAAGTGTGTTGGGTAAGTCCACACAAGCAGCTATAACCAATAAACCCTAAATTTCCATGTTGAATAAAAAACAATTCTTTCTTATTCCTGTAACAACCTATAGGGAGTGTTCTTGCTCCGCCAGACAGCTTTTCACCTGGTGAGCCAGGAGCCCGGGCTCCCTCCAGCCCAGAGGGCCTGAGTTCTCTCACCCAGGCAGCAGTGACGAGAGCCAGCACAGAGAAGGCACACCCACTTCCTAAAAATCCTGGCCCCAAATAAAGCATGTCACGTCCACTCCTATTCCTTTGCCAGAAATTCATCATGTGGTCACACATGGCTCTAAGGAAGACAAGTAAATACTGTCTAATTATAGGCCCAGGAAATAAAGAGAGAAAATATATTTGAGTGAGCCATCTCTGCTATCTCCCATCCCTATAATATAAAGCAGAGAGATGCTTTAAGATTAGCACAAAGTGCCCTGGGGTATGAGAAGGTTTTAACAGTGGGCATTAAAAAGGCCTGTAGAGGAGAGGATTTTCAGTGAGTCTTGAAGAACAGGCGAGTCCTCGATAGAAACAGACCCTAACAGGCATAACTGAGACTGCTGTCAAAGATGGTGAGGTCTGAAGTCAGGTGGGAGTGAGGAGGTGAGAGAGGATGTATGCTTGTGCCTTGGTCTATGTGTGCATATTTCAGCATCGTGCTGAAATTATTTTAATAATCTCTTTTCCTGAATTCCTTCTATAAGTAATTAAATAACAAACAGAATTACTCCCTCCACCACAAGTGTCTTAGTTCCTAATGTGAAGATATGAAATAATTAAAGGGTACGCTGTGTAAGAATTTTAATGTCATGAAAAACTTCTATTTTTGAGACTGTGTTAATTATACAGGATGAGGCTGAACAAAGGGAAGATGCATAATTAGCAAAGCACAGCTTATTATTGTACAACGAGAACTGTTTAGAAGCTCTTCTGAATCCAGATATGTAATAAATCAAGAGTGATCTAGTATTTATCTTTTAGTGAACAACTCTGGAGATTCTGGAAATGTAAGGCTTAGCCATTTTGGATTTGACCGTGGGGATGGCATAGGTAAACTTTTACAGTCTAGTCTAAGTGGCATAGAGGAAAGAGCAGTGTCGTTGGAGGGAGAAGACCTCTGTCTCTTCCTTGGTCTGCTACTCATTGGCTGGGTGATCATAACCTTTGTGGGTTGCTTTCTCCACTGTATGGGGATTATGATCCCCATAGGATCCCCACGTGGATCCCCATGATCAACATAGGAAAGTGCTGTTAGTGCCAGCCAGACCCAATAACAAAAAACACAATTAGAGCCTCTATCTAAGATAGAGGTGAGACTAACCAGAGAAAGATGCTCATGTTGATGCATCAGCATAATGAAGGACGCACCTGGAAAGCTGATGAATATTCTGTTGAGATTCTCCCTGAGACCACCTCTAAAATTCCATGCCCTTAGAAAATGAATAAAAACACCCAAGACAAAGGACCCAGTGCCCATTCTCCCCTGAACAATCCTATGCCTCTCTTCCCTCAGGCATGAATTTACACAGTTGGGGGTTCTTTTTCTTAAGCTCCAAAGGCTCTCCTCATGTCTAACTTTTCTGTAAGCCAAAAGCAGCCCCAACTTGGCTCATTTCTGTTACTGTGATTTTGCTTCTTCTATCCTAAGCCTTTCCTATGTTTCACTGTCCCTACCTTTAATAATTATACTCTCAAAATCACCTGGACTCAAGTCTTAAATTCTTTCTTGCATAAAGTCAAGAATGCACATATTGTAAACCATGCTGGGACAGACCTGCCTTGGCCCAGTCCCTTTCCAGTGATAAAAGCACTTAGCACTGAACCTGAACTATATTAAAGACCCATTTAAAATTTTTAGATCCATTTCTTTTTTCTTTTCCTACATTTTTTCTTGAAAAAAATTCGCTCACCTCAATAAAAGTCCTCGAGACTTTAAGAACTTTGTAAGAATGACTGTAATATCACATGGATGTATTTTCTTTAAGCCTACCAAACTTTAATAAAGGCAGTTATAATATCAGTGGCTCTCTCTGAGTAGTGTCAAGGATAAAGAAATACCTTAGTTGTCAAATCCAAGGAGGGCTGACTCAGCTCTTCTTTTCTTCCAAAGAAGATAAATTGCATCTCATACAATTTGCTTTTGGCTAGGGGGCTTTTGTTTTGTTTTCAAACGAGATCTCCAGTGCAAAAGACAAACTCTCTTACATATATATTAAAATAGGCTATGATGAGTCCCATAAAGGTTTGGGCTTTTCCCTAGAATCTGTTGGCAGAATATTAGAAATTGATATGAAAGAGAGAGCTTAAAATTGGCACAGTATTACATATTATTCAATTGCAAAATGCGAAATTGCTGCTCATCCCAAGCCTCAGCTTAGCTGTAACAGTCTGTACACTCAAGTGCATCTCAGTGTTGGCTGAAAGGACAGGGGACCTCAGCTCCTGAGAAGGCATTGCGATAGCATCATCATATCAATGGCCCACGTGCAAAGTTCTTGATAAACGATCATAATCCAGAGGCAAGAGATAAAATATGAGAGTTTGATTTGTATAAACAAATCAAAGGTATTTAAAGTCAAGCTACTTAATCTATGTTAAGGGACTGCCAGGAATATAAACATCAGAACAGACTCAGAGCCAGAACCAGAAAGAATTAAGAGGATAGAAGGAACTCTGAAGATTATTCGCTACTTTTCTCTGATTTACTATAATCCAGCTGTATTGGCCTTCTTTCAGTTCTGTGAACCAGCCAAGCTCAAAGCCTCTTCTCTTAAAACCTCTATAAATCATCCTTCTGCCTCTTCAGAGATGCCTCTTGTAATAGTCAGGATTGTCTCCATTAAGCTGCATTAACAAATAGCTTCCATATCTCAGTGGCTTAAGGCAATTAAAGTCTGTTGTTTTCTAAAGCTACATGTTCAGAGTGGGTTGGCTGAGGGGGTCTCTGTTCTTTGAAGCCAAGTAAGTTCCAGGCTAAGGGAGCAAACCACATCTCGGACCACACTGCCAGTCAGAATGCCACAGGGAGCTGGAGCAACAAAATTAAATGCTCCAGAAATGACACATGTCATTTCTAAGCACAACACATTGGCCAGACCCAATCCCATGGCCCTCTGAAAACTCAGGGAGGCCAAGGCAATGCAATCCTACTGTGTGCCTGGAAAGGGAAGGGGGTAGGAACAGCTCTTTTGACTCTCGCCCCTCCCTGGACCAAACTTTCTGAAGCAGTTTCTAGCTTTTCACTGCCTTAGCGCCCCTTTTGTATTTTTCATAGTGCTTATCACAATTTGTAATTGCATTGTTTACACTGTTTACCTTAATTAATAAACAATGCTTTGTTTTCAGTCTTCTTCCACTACTGAACTCCAAGGTCCATAAGAGGAAGGAGCATGTCAGCACACTAATTCTAGGACACAGTTATGAAAACTGGTCAGTCTGACTAACGCATTTAAATGCTGAGTATATTTGTCCTGAATTTGGAGAATCCTTCTGGCGATAACCCCACATCTCTCAGCCTCAGCCCTTTCAGGCTGTGTGCTGACGCCTCTCCACAGCTCCCTGTCTGAAGATCCTCTCTCCACATGATTGCAGGGGCTAGAGTGGAGACAAACTGGGCATTCCTTCAAATGCTGTTTTGAAACAAATTGGGAAACTTTCAACTAAAATCTTTCACAGAAATCTCCAAAGGCAGTGAAAACCAACACTTCCAATGCAGATTGCTGTGCACTTTGTAAATAATGAAAAGAATAAAGAAATTTGGTGCACTGGCATTGTCTTGAATTTACTTTTGGCAAATTCGCTTGCAGGAATTTGCTCAGAGCTACCCTCTCAGCCTCCACTAACAGATGTACTTTATTGTCAAACCGAGCCTGGAATTTGGAAGTCACTCTGAAATAACTGTCTTTTTTATGGGCAAAAAATGCAGTTTTTGAGAGATTAAATTACTGGCCCAAATCACAGAGGTGATAGTGGGAAAGATAAAAGCAGGACTCAGTCTCTCCTGCCAGTGTGGGGCTCCTTTTCCCGAGTTACCCACAGGAAGACGGCAATCATTTTCACAAACTTATCAGGCTATTTGGGGCAAATACTAAGTGCATAAAGGAAGATTTTGAGAATTTCTTTTGCTTTTTAAAATCACTTCAAATAAAAACATTTGATTACTTGTTATTTTAGATACTTTCTTATAACTATACATTTTTATACTATACTTCTCAAGCAAAATAAAAAATAATTGAAGTACAATTGCCCTTAAGACAAGGTTATTTCAGCAAAGAAGTTTCAAAAATCAATTAGCTATGGCCTTGGAGAAATGGATATTTCAGCAGCTGTTCTCTCGGATGACCTAAGGCATGTCTTTAGTTCCCTAATATTTTATCTTAGAAGTGGCCACCACTAAAACCAGCAAAAGGTTTCTTAGGTAGTAAACATGAATTTGAAGAAAGGACTCTTTTTTTTAAGCTATTATGTTCTTTCTCCTATCTCATTCAGGAACATGGCTTTTATGTCAAGGGTGTTTTTATATATTATAGCAGGTAAACATTAATAAAAAAATAAACTTTTCTTTCTATTAGTCCTTGGATGATGATCTCTGATTTGATAGAATTGCTGTTATTTTCCCACAGTGGCGGCCTATATTCGGAACAGTGTGTTCTTTGCCTACCTGTTGGGCTGGGCTTGCTGTGCTCTTCTTACCACAGGGGCAGGGCCCGAAGCAGGGTCTCAGTCTTGTGGTGAGGAGGATTGCAACGGCTCGTGCCAGGAGAAGCTGCTGCTCCAAAACTGCAGAATCCTGTGGGGGTAACAAGAAAAGAGAAAACTTTAGAAAAAAATGACAATCAGGCTCTGAGAAATCAAGACAAAACTCGGTTGTTTAAAAAAATAGACGTGTTTAGAGAGAACACAGAATGGCATGTGGGTGAGCACTAAATACAGGTTGATCAAATGAAAAAGAGAACGCATAACTGAACATATGCAGGCCGGAGCTGGTCCTAGAATTGCAAACCCATATGCCTACAAGACCCGGCAAGCAGGGTCAATGAGGGAGCAGACTGGGCGTGAGACCACAGGGAACAACAGTAGGGCTGTGGTGAGCTGGTGAGCTCATGTCTCACCTGAAGGGGGCAGCCTGCTCATGTCTAGCTGATGGGTTTCCTTGATGCCATGAGGAAAAACAAGCTCGATAATGCTACTCCTGCAGATTTTCAAGGGAAAACAGGAATACAGATTTCTATGAGAAATCTCTCGAATTCACATTTAGAATTCAATTAACCAAAACAAAATGTTGTGTGGGTCAAAAAAGGCTAAAGTGAAAGCCTACCCGAGGGTCAGGATTAGCTCATGGGTAGCCAGCTTTTACCTAAGTTCTAGGGTGACATCTTTAATTTCCAAATGATGAGAAGGAGTCCAGAGGGCTGAAGCCACTTGGGCAAACACACAGCAAATCTGTGGCAGATATGGGGTTTTTAGGCATGAGGGTCTTCCCTTTAACTTAAGACCCTCACTTTCCCTTATGACCACTCTCAGACTGGCTGAATCTGATAGACCTGTTGAAGTAACAGATCAGAAGCCCACCAGAAGCTGCCTTCAGTTCAACTGATCCTTGCTTGGGTCTCAAGCTGTGTTTATATAGATCTTTCTACTGGAAAGTGTACCATATTTTGCTGTGTATAACACGCTCCCAAGTATAATGCACATCCATGTTTTGGGCTTAAACTTCCAGGAAAAAAATTTATATTTTAATCCTGTAATTTATTATTTTTATTTATTTACACTTAGAAACAAAACTGATTATTGTATTCCAGGGTATTATTTTGCATACAGATATCATTATTGCTTTTTAGAGTTATACTTTTAACTCATAAGCATGAATAAAAGAGTTAAAACATTTCTATAGCTACAAAACTAGTACTACCCATGTATAATGTGCATCCTTATTTTTCTCTCAAAAATTTGGGCAAAAAAGTGTGCATTATACACAGCAAAATATGGTAGTTTTTTGTTCTCGCCACTTGTATGATAAGTTGAGTGACTGAGGGATGTGATGGTTCCTCACAGGAAATAACACGCTGACTACAGGCGTTTGTTTGGGATGGCGTGTGAGCCGTGTGGCCAGATGTGAAGAGCAGCCGTGAGAGGTCTGGGCAGAGGCGTGAGTGGGACCCACTGGATCCATTTGCTGGTTCTGGTTTCTGCCAAAATGCTTCTCTGTTTATATGCAGGTGGCGTTGTGTGATCGTTAAGTGTATGAAATGTCTTTAAACATTGACTCAGCTGCTTACTGTGACTGAAGCTTTTTAGATCCCATGTGTAAAATAGTGACAGCAATAGTTCCTGAACTGTAGAGTTGTATGCACTGAAATGCTTAGAACGGTATTTGTGCAAGGCAGACATTCAGTACGTATTTGCTAGTATTTGTAACAAGTGCCAAACTAATTTATGTATTTATTTGTAGTTATTGCCTATAATAACTAATTATACCTTACTTATAGTTATTTACTTATAGTTATTACCTGTAATCATCACTATAATCCTCTTCATTTTACATTTAATCTTTACCTCAATAATGAGAAAATAATGACCTTGGGTGGGAGATAAAGCCTTTTATCTAATGTCACCCTGGTAGATAGTGAACCCGATATTTGAACCTGGGCTTGTGCAACTGAGCCATTTGTTTAACCCGCCTCTCCAGGGCCTTGTCAGTGTTTAACTGAAGATACTATGTAGATAGATCTTTCGATGCAGATAAAAATCAACTTTGGTCAAACAACAAATACTTATGAAGTCAAACACCAAAGCAAAGGAGTCCCAAAGCAAATAGTCAAAAAGATTGCATGCTTGCTAATCTTCTCCTTCATGCAAAATTGTACTCTTCCAGGTTGGAGTGTGCCACATGGATAAGAATAAGACAGGAGAGCATATGGTCAATTTTCAGTCTGCATAAGCCCCCCATTCTTACCCTTTCAAATGCTATGGCACTTAATAAATTATTTTCTTAATATCAATCAATCAACCAATTTCCATGGCAGTAGCTTTTAGAATTAAAACATGTAGTGAATGTTGACATTGGGAGAGTAACACCAGGAATATTTTATTCTAGGATATTTTTTCTTTAAAAAAGTGTTTGGTTTTATATAATTTTCTATGCAAAGAAAGAGTGGGATAAAGTATAAATATTTATTAAAGTATATGAAGCATCTTGTGTACAACTACTGAATGAAGAAAAGGAAGGAAAAAAGGAATGAAGGAACTAAGCAATTACTGGCCACTAACATGAGCCAGGCCCTATGCCAGGCGCTGTTCCATACATATGATGCATATTAGCATTTGCTGAAGGAGAAATAGCCAAACCAGGGCCCAAATATACATGGAAATGTATATAGAGCCAACTCAATTTTCCATGGGCAGATTTCTATTTAAACATCTCAAATCTTACTTAAACATAACACCTTACCTTGACCACTCATTTCATTTAATTTTTTGACACAAAATATTTTTTAATTGATTTTAACCAAGTAAGAGCATGGAAGGAGAGTCCTTTCAACAAAAATATTTAATGATCATCAGTGCTGGGAAAATATAAACTAGATGCCATATAGATACAAATTTTTCTTGCTTTAGAATGAACTTGACGTTAGATAACGATACCTATTCTCAGCAATAATATAGGCAGCAGGAATACATTACACAAGAAAAGATAAAAAAACACAAAGCCACTTTCTTTAGTCTGATTTTAAAGTGTAATTTCAGTATTTAAGTTAGAGGCATTGCAACTTCCCAGAATATAAAATGCATTCATATTCAAGTGTTGGTTTTAGAATACAAAACAATATTTTAAAATCAAATAAAAATGAATTTGTTCACTAGCCTCTCTTTTGGATAACTGCCATATATTGCTATTTTTTTCCCCAGGCGGTAATTGAAAATTGACTATGTATAAATTGTGATGTTTTTCTGGGGAAATAGCCTACACTCAAAATGTGTCACCCACATTTTTATTTAAGTTACAATTTTACCAGGCCTAAAAATTATAGCTATTCTAGTATATTATCTGATTATATCTTATTAACATCTTTTCTTCTTTTTGGCTTCATGTAGCATAAAGGAATGTTGTGTCATTTATGTCTAAGGAATCCATTCATTTAGTGTTCCACACCAGAGTTAGCTATGAAGTATTTCAGAGACAGAATAGGACAAATAGGGTAATGCTCATATTTGAACATGAGAGTTCATCTTCCTAGTTTTGCAGTAACCCTCTTGGTGACAATGAAGAAGTTTGCACTGTGAGTCTCAAATGTCAGCACCTGGCCACATCTGACCCAGTTTGGGTATGATCTGTCTGCAACCAAAGACTTGAATGAAGACCAACAGAACAAAATGGGAAGCACCCCTGAGCTGTCTATTTATTATTAATTTATCAAGATGAGTTCTGTGCTTCATTAGGAAACTAGACTGAAGTAATAGTTGATCTAATTAGTTATTGGATTTAGTAGAGAGAACTGAATGTTTTCGCTCTCTTAAGTGTCAATAATAATAAACTTAACTTTTCATTTCTCCTTGCCATAGGTCAGGTCCCTGGGAAACTGACTTGGAGACTGAGATGCAAATGCAGGAAGCTTATGGGAGCATGTTCCCAGGAGCACAATCTGTGCTGAGAGGAGAAGGAAGAAAGGGAGGGAGAGGTTACAATGGGACACAGTCACAGCGGAGACCTGAGACGGCCTAGGAAGCTCTGAAGCAGCGGGTGTGGGCTTACAGAGGTCCAGGGTGTGCTAGAGCTGGCGCAGATGGGCTTGGGCAGAGCTGATGGCACATCTCTTCCCGACTTCACAGCAACTCACGTTGACACCTTAAATCTGGAGGCATGTGTGCTGGGTATTTACAAAAGGGTGATTGGCAGAGTCTAGAAATCAGAGCTTCTGTCACTCCCCTCTCAAGTCCTTAATCTCTGAAGAGCTGGTTTACCAGAAAACCCCCAGTTAAGAAAGACTGATTTGTGCATCTCTCTGTCCAAATAGATGTGTAGGTACTTAATTGCATAATGTGCTACAGAGAAGAGGGGAAAGATATACAGGGTTGGCCAAAAAGTCCATTTAGTTTTTTCTGTAAGATAAAAGACACTTTTGATTTTCACCAATAACTTCATTGATTTGGATATTTTGAGCATGTTGGCTATCTCCCACATAGTCTAATGTTGATTGTTCTCAATTAATGTCTGACTTTATCACTATCAACTTCAACTAGCCTACCTGGCCGTGGAGCATCTGTCATCCAGTGAGACATTTCCAGTACAAAACATCACAAACCACTTCTGACATGTTTGATCAGTCACAGTACCTTCTCCATATACTGCACAAATCTGCTTTTGAGTTGCAGATTTTTTTACCTTTCTTGAAATAATAAAGCTTAATATGCCAAAATGTCACTTATATTCTTTCATCTTCAAAATTAAAATGTCATCACAAAAATTCACCAATTCTGATTTTTTAAAAAATGCATGCTGATATGACAACTGTCAGAATACAATCTAACAAAATTGTTTTAAATTAAGTTAAAGACAATTAAGCACTAGTAGAGCCATCTTACAGAAAAAAAAAGAAAAAAAAGAAAAAACAAACTTTTTGGCCCACTCAATACTATATTCCTAGGTCTTGTATTGCTCACTAAACTTTTTCAGGCAAGGTGTCTTCTATTCTACACAGAGTATTACTCTAATTCCAGGATTTCTAGACCTGCTGTGTTGTCAGTGATCTT